CTCGCCGTAGTTGAGAGAAACCTCTGGTCTAGTCTTACAGCAGAGGCCAGACTGAAAGCAGCCAGAGACTGCAGGACTGTGGGAATGTCGAAGGCGAAGGGCGAGGGCTAGAATCACAACGAAAAGAAAGATCACTGAGATCAAAGCCAAGGCCACCACCAGGTAAAACTGCAGCTCACTCTGGGGGTCGGACGGTCGCCCAAGGCACGCGCTGTGCGCACCTCGCCAGTGCGCAGGCCCAGGCTGAAGAGCCCGGGATCGCTGGCCTGCAGCACGTGGTACGACAGCCAGGCATTGTGTCCCGAGTCCGCGTCCACAGCCACCACCTTAGTGACCAGGTATCCGGGCTCAGCGGCGCGCGGCACCATGTCGAAGAGCGCAGAGCCGTCGGGCTCGAGCGCGGGGTACAGCACGCGTGGGGCGTTGTCGTTGCGGTCGCCCACCAGCACGTGCACGCTCACGTTGGCGCTGAGCGGGGGCGAGCCCTGGTCGCGCGCCTGCAGTGTCAGCTGGAAGGAGCGCAGCTGCTCATGGTCGAAGGCGCGCTGAGCGAACACCACTCCGCTCTGAGCGTTCACGGTCACATAGGACCACAGCGATTGAGGCTCCAGGTCGCTGGCTATGATGGAGTAGGAGACGTGACCATTGGATCCCAAATCCGGATCAAAGGCGCTGACTTGAGCAATGGAAGCACCAGGCGGGGGTGTTTCAGCCACTTGGATCAAGTAGGAGGTCCGGAGGAAAACTGGAGTATTGTCATTGATGTCCCCAACTTGCAGGGTGACACTTGTGCTGGAGGAGAGGGGTGGCTTGCCTCTATCAGTCGCGATGATGGAGACGTTGTACGCTGGAGTCTGTTCCCGGTCCAGGACCCCATCTGTTACAAGCTTATAGTAATTATTGGCCGAAGATTCAATTCTAAAAGGAACACTTTCTCTTACGAAGCATGTCACTCTTCCATTTTCTTCCGAATCTTTATCATATGTTTTGAACAGAGCCACCACTGTCCCAGGTTCAGCGTCCTCGGGTATAGAATTGGACACCGAAGTAAAAACCACTTCCGGGGCATTGTCGTTTTCATCGAGAATTTCAATTATAACTTTACATTCTGTGGCCATGCCTCCACCATCCTTGGCCTCTACACTCATGGTGTAAGTCCTCTTGGTTTCAAAGTCTATAGGGCCTTCAGATCTAATTTCTCCATTTTGATGATCTAGGATAAACTTATATCTAATATCGTCTCCTAGTGATTTGAAGGAGTAGGTGACCTCTGCATTGACACCCTCATCCTGGTCGGTGGCCATCACCTTTAGCACAGAGGTGCCTGAGGGCATGTTCTCTCTAAGACTGGCTTTGTACATATTTTGGCTGAACACTGGGGGGTTATCGTTGGCATCAGTGACCTCGATTTGAATTTGAGCCGTGCCAGTTAGTGCTGGTTCTCCCCCATCCATTGCTGTCAGGACCAAGAGCTGGGAGCTCTGCTTTTCCCTGTCTAGTGGCTTCTCTAACACTAATTCTGGGGCATCCTTGCCTTCAGCCTTGTCCTTCACCACCAGAGAGAAATGCTCGTTCAAACTGAGCTGGTAACTCTGCAGAGAGTGCGGTCCTACATCTTCATCTATGGCAGATTCTAGGCCAAACCTAGTGCCTGGGATTGCAAATTCATTGATTTGTAAAACAATACTATTTTGGAGGAAGTGGGGCGGGTTATCATTTATATCTTCTATCACCACGCTGACGTGAAAGACGTTGAGGGGATTTTCCGCCACAATCTCTAAGGGCAGCACACACAGTGGGCTTTGGAAGCACAGCAGCTCTCGATCGATTCTGTCGCTCACAACTATGTTCCCGTTCTCGGGGTTCACAGTAAGACACGGTTTCTCTGCTATGACTCTGAGGTTTCGAGTCAGTAAATCCCGAACAGGCACCCCCAGGTCCTCAGCGAGGTTTCCCACAACGGATCCCATAGCCATTTCTTCCGGAATAGAATACCGGACTTGCTCCGAAAGCCCCGCGCAGAACAAAGGCAGCAAGAACGGAAAGAGTACTTGCCTCCACTGGGTCCGGCTTCCTAGCTTCACGCTGGGCTCCATCCTTCTCACAGCCTCCCAGGTGAAGGGAAGAGACTTCACGAATTACTTCCACCACGAAGAAAAACCAAACGTTCCCTCCAAGTTTGAGGATATCACAGTCCCTAATTCGACTTGCTTAGCAGAAAATCCAAGCCCCCTTACTCTTTAAGCCTTCAGTGAACGTTCATAATTTCAACTGGTAGAGTCTGAGAGTCAGCTCTTGCAGCGAATTGGACAGCAGCGGCGCCCAGAGTTCACTTACAAAATTGCAACCAGAAGCTTTTGCAGACTCAATGGGATTAGGTACACAGAGCTATGTCGGGACATGAGCAACAAAGGAGTTTATGAACTTGGAATTTGTCTGTTTTCCAGACAAATTCTATTGAACAGAGCCCCAAGTGATGGGATCTGCAGCATAACTATTAACCCAGTAAGGAGAGACTAAAAGGCTTGCCTTTCCTATCAGAGGAAACGAACACATTGAAAGAACCAGGCAAGTCTTTTCTCAAGACCACGTGGAAAAATAGCCCCACCAAGTGGTATAGGAAAACTTGACAGTGGCAAAATAACACCAAGTATTATCTTCTGCTGGACACAACGCATATTGCCAGAGAAGGGGCACTATCTAGGGTACGTTTGAAATAACCATGACCAATGCCATAAATTATTTTTAGTTATAGATGAATTACAAAGATTGTTAAATTTTCATCCACTCTTAAGAATTTAATGACATGAGATGTGAGCTCATTTTCTTTGTATCCTTTTATCTAAATGAATTATATGTTGCTTCCTAACTGAATCTCCAGTGACTTGAAAATCAACTTTCAGAACCCAACTAGTTTAGATTGTGCTTAAAAATACAGAGAAACCTCTCCCTACCAATCAAATGCCTCATGGCATTTTCAATAATTTAATTCTAGTTCAAGTGTAGTGCCTTAAGTGCCCTCTCCTTCTGAGTTTGGGATTCCATAAGCATAAATACTACTCAAAATACTAAAATATTTTTCTTGGCTTCAAGACAAATTTAGGTATCTGTTCAGAAGAATTCCCCTTCTAACCATTGAAGAATTATGTCCTATCATGAAATTTACAATGCATTATATTAAGACCAAACTCCTAAGCGAAAAACATAAACTTGAAAGGAAATATTAATGTGTAAGTAACTGGACTCAAATCTCCAGATGTGACATAGGAATTTGGAGTTTGATTATGGAAGTGATTCCTATGATCAGATCTTCTAGATAATTCTCCTTTCCTTGTTTGTCTTTGCTTCTTCGAGTTATTGGATAAGTATCAAGGCTTCAATAGCAAGTTTTTTTTTTCTTTCTGATTATAGCAATTGGATATGCTTAAATTGTAGTGCAAAAGAACATAAGGAAAAGAAAAAGGAATCCAAGACTCCTAGCTGAAGATAGAAGAAGAAGAGAAGCAAAACAGAACTGTTCCATACTCAGAAGAAAATATCACTACAAGTAGTGTGTGGATAAATGAGGAAAAGCTTCAGAGAGCATGCTTTCTGAAGTTAAGAGGAGGAGGAGGAGGAGGAGAAGTAGTAGTAGTCTCTCCACCCATGCTAAGGATTTCACCAAGGGTCTTGTACATGCTAAGCACATGTATATCAGTAAGCACTGAGCTATATCCCAGCCCCTAAGTCAATCACTTATACAACCCAAATACCCACTCCCATCTCTAAGGTTCACAAGTGATATAAACAAATCTGAATTAGAAACTTTTTGAGCATAAGATAAAAATAATTTCTATATGTGAATTTGTTACATTAAAAGCATTCAAAAGGAAAAAAGAACAAGAAAAGAAAAAACAGAAAGAAAGAAAATGCATTACACATAACACTACAGTAAAAGAATAAAAGAAAGCAACATCCACTCAACAGTCCGGTTATTCTCAGAACAATCTAATGAATTCACAGTAGGATAAATAAGGAGCCTAAGAAAATGGTCCTGCATTCCCTCTCCCAATGAAGTCACCTCTGTTTTGAAAGGATGAAGCAACAACACAAAATTGAAATGGTCAACAGGATCCAAATATAACTTTCAAATACACCAACCATCAAAAAGCAAAGCAGAACTATTCTGTACTCAGAAGAAAAATCTCACTACAAGTAGTGTGTGGATAAACGAGGAAAAGCTGCAGAGAGCATGCTCCTGAGTTAAGTTAAATTTAAACATTAGAAGCAGGCCCAACCGTGGTGGCGCACTCCTTTAATCTCAGCACTCAGGAGGCAGAGGCAGGTGGATCTCTGTGAGTTTGAGACCAGCCTGGTCTACAAGAGCTAGTTCCAGGACAGCCTCCAAAGCCACGGAGACACCCTGTCTCCAACTCCCCAACCCCCCCTTAAAAAAACCATTAAAAGCAAATGACAGTAGACTATAGAGACGCTGCGAAGTTGAAATAAAATCTGTTTGTGAATCGTCAAATTGAATCACAATTAGTTTACATTGAGAGCCACCGATCATGATGATAGACAAGTTTGCGCGCTACAAAGCTACAAAGCAAGTGAAGCTAATTGACCTAGCCTTTTAAAAATGAAAGAAAATATGCAAGTACCTCAAAATGACGTTGATAAGGCCCTTCTGAAAAAAATATGACTCTGATGATGGTAAGGTACACAAACCAACTGCAAATGTTCTAAATATGTATGGACTAACTATGCCCGCCCAAGTCTAATTTTCATAACCAGCTCAGCAAAAGTCCTTTCAAGACTTGTACCAAAACAGCAACAATTGGGAGGCCAAAAAATACATCTCACCTGAGTATCTGTCGGGTCACATTTGCCTAAACCGGTAGCTGAGCCTTCAGCGATTAGAAGAGGCTCGCTTTTGCCACAACTCTCCTGGCTAATGAGCGTGTCTGCGTAGTTGGGCTGCGGAAAGATGAGGTGACTCTTCCTGGAGTCTGCAGTGAGCGAAACCTCATGGGAATAGGTCTGGAGAAAAGCGCGCACCCCGTCCACGCCCACAAAATGCGAAGGAGGAGGCATGCCAGCCAATCTGCTGGCAGCCTGGAGCAGACGCGAGGAGTGCCAGCGCCGAAGCTTGAGAGCCAGAAGTACCATGACAAAGATGAGGAAGATGCAAGAGACTGCAGTGATGGCCACCACTAGGTAGAGAGTGATACCTGACTCATCCGGGTTGGCGGGAGACTCCAGACTAACCAAGTCCTCCAGAACGTCTGGGATGCTGTCAGCCACCGCCACAGTGAGCCTGACAGTGGCGGAGAGGGGCGGTTGACCGTGATCCTGCACAGTCACCACGAGGCTCTGCTTGAGAGCATCTTTGTCCATCATGGCGCGGGCAGTGCGAACCTCCCCTGTGTGCAGCCCAACGGAGAAGAGTCCTGGCTCGCTGGCTTTGAGCAGGCGGTAGGACAACCAGGCGTTCTGCCCTGAGTCTCTGTCCACCGCCACCACCTTGGTCACCAAATAACCAGGCTCCGCAGAGCGAGGGGCCAATTCCACACCCGTGGAGCCATCTGTAGGGAGAGAGGGGTACAGGATCTCTGGAGTGTTGTCGTTCTGGTCCAGCACATACAGGGTCAGTGAAATATTGCTGCTTAATGGTGGGTCTCCACTGTCACTAGCAGTTACTCCCAGTTGTAGGGTTTGGAACTGCTCATAGTCGAAGGATTGTAGGGCATACAGCACACCGGTGTCTGAGTTGATAGAAACATAAGAGGAGAGAGGTGTTCCTTGGATGGTGTCCTCAGCCAGAGAGTAAGTGACCTGAGCATTTTCTCTGCTATCCCTATCAACTGCGGTCACTGAGAAGATGGACGAGCCTCTGGGGTTGTTTTCAGGAATGTAGGCGGAGTAAGAGAGGTGAGTGAAAACTGGAGGGTTGTCGTTGGCATCTGCCACTTGGAGCAGGAGGTGAGTTTCTGTAGACAAGGGTGGATTCCCCTGATCTTTGGCGGTTAATGTAATATTGTAGCTCTCCACCTGCTCCCGGTCCAGTTCACTATCTGTTATTAACTTATAATAATTTCCATACGTCTTTTCTAACTTGAAAGGAAGACCATTAGGAATGAAGCAAGTGACTTGACCATTTTCTCCAGAGTCTTGATCTTGAACGTTTACAAGAGCGATTACTGTACCTGAAGGAGAATTTTCCAGCACTGAGTTAATGGAAGAGGTGACAGTTATCTCTGGAGTATTATCGTTCACATCCACAACTGTGATCAACAGCGTGGCAGTGCTTAACAGTCCTCCACCATCTTGGCCTTGAACTTCCATCTCATAGAATCTGTATTTTTCAAAATCCAGAGGCTTTGCGACTAGAACTTCTCCGGTTTGAGAATTCAACTGAAAGATTTCAGAATCTTTGCTTTTCATTTTCCGGAATGAGTACATCACTTCCCCGTTGATACCTTCGTCTGGGTCTGTGGCGTTTACCACGAGCACCCGAGTTCCAGAGCTGAGGTTTTCAGGAATACTCACTCTATATACAGACTGTGTAAACTTTGGGATGTGGTCATTTACATCGAGGACCACCACACGAATGGGAACCGTGCCCTTTCGGATGGGATCTCCCCCATCCAAGGCTGCAAGGAGGAGGTGGTGAGATGCCTCTTTCTCCCGATCCAGGCCTTCCTCCAGCACAAGCTCTGGATTCTTGTCCCCGTCACACCTGCAAGGAAAAGTAACTACTAGGGCTGAGCTGGTAGCTCTGGAGAGAGTTCATTCCCACATCAGGATCCCTAGCGTTAGGAAGAGGAAATCGCGACCCAGGACTAGTATGCTCGCTGACTTTGATCTCCACTGCCTCTTCCCGGAAGCTGGGGGCGTTATCATTAATGTCCGTTATTTCCACCTCCACTCCATAAATTTTCAGGGTGTCCTCCACGAGAATCTCCAAATTTAGCAAGCAGGAGGGCAATGTTTCACACAGCTCCTCACGGTCAATCCTACCCGCTGTGACTAAGCTGCCGCCTCGCG